TTTGTGTTGTTTGTGTTTTTATATAATGCGCTCTTCAATGTTGTTTGTTGTTGTTCGATTACACAATTTGCACAAATGAGATGCATCCAAAATTTCCAACAAAAATGGAAAAAAACAAAAAAAAAAAAAATAAGGAACACAACGTGCAAAAAAAATCAAAACAAAACAACCCACAATGGACACGCTGTTTAGCTACAATTACAGTTAGACAGTTAATGCAGCGTGCCGGGGTGTGCGAGAGCGGGCGGGCGAAGGGGCGGCGGCGGCGGCGGCGGGAGATATAAGCGTCTTTTTTGCACTTGTAGATACTTTTTCTCGCTGATCGAAATGTTGCAGCTCTTATGGGATTTGTGGCTTACATTCAAACAACAAATTGTGGCAGTTGCAGCCGCCGTCTAACAGCATTTAACATACATATGTAGATACACACACACACACACACACACATACACATAGCACACGCACACAAAAGCGTTTCGTTCGGTTTTGCTTACGATTTTCTTTGGCTTGGCGTTTTAGACAGTTGTCACTTTTTGCTGTGTCATAAAAAAATATTTAAAAAAAAATAAATTGTTTTCTATTTAAATATATATATATATTCGTACGTATATATATTTATATATATAGCTTTGTTGATTTCACTAAACAATTATTAACTGCGTTTTAAAAGTATTTATTCTTGTTTTCGCTACATATACTTTATTTCATATATGAGCTGTCTAACGATTAACTTTGTTTGGTGCGCGTCGCCGTGGAGAGCTGAACAACGTCTATTTGTCTGGTTGTGCCTCTGCCGCCGTTGTTGCTGCCGCTGCTACTGCGGCGACTGGCGACTATGAAGGCGGCAGCGTTAAACGTTATAACGGCAAACACACGACGTTAGCGTCAGCGCTGCGTTCTTGACGCAGGCGCGATCTCCCACCACCGTCAACGAAAACAACAACAACAATTACCGAAACAGCAAAGGAAAGTGCCAGTGAAAGAGAGACAGAGAGAGTGAGAGAGAGAGAGAGTGAGAGAGAGAGAGAGAGTGAGTGACTGTGTGTGCGCGTGTGTGTGTGTGTGAGAGAGCGCAAAGCACGGCAACCCACTGGCCTGCTTTGATGTTTGCGCTCGCCACCCTAGTCAAAAATAAACCGCTTAGTGTTAGGGTTGCTTTTGACACGCGTAGCGCAAGAGCATTGCTGCCACCTGGGGTTGATTTTTGGTTTTTGCATTGTGCACGGTTGCATTTTTGCAGCTGTCCGCTGGGTTGTTTGCTTGTGGGTGGCCTATTGCCAGGGCTGCAAATACGCACATATGCATGCCCATGCACAGCCCCAACGAATATCCATTAAGGGTTGCCACAGCTACAACATATGATCCCTAAGACAATCAAATGCCAGTGTTGCCGCACACATGCTTGGCACAAGTGTGTCACTGATTTATGTAAATTATGCTCAGTTACTTAGCCTTGACGCAAACCCTAACGCCCACATGGTTAGCGTCTTGACTTTCAATGCGGAAGCGCCAACAAAAAGCAACAAAATAAATGTTGAGGTTCAATTAAACTGAATGAAATACGCGCCTGAACAGACATCTAGATGTACATATGGTATGTAGGTATGTGTTTGTATAAAAGAAGTGGTACAACAATTTGAGGTAAATACTGGCGTTGACTTTGAATTTGCATTTTAAGTTCACAAGCAACTCACACACACACACACACTGACATACAAATAGCAGACATGTATGTACATATGTTTATACATATATTTTAACGTTTGCGTCAATGTCAGACAGTAACTACAACAAAAACAACAACAACAGCAACAACAAGCTGAAAGCGCACGTTGTAAAAATAACACAAAAAATATCGACGCAATATACTTATTTAAGCCAACTGAGCAATGAATGAACGCACACAGCTCTCTTAATCTGTGAATATGTGCATGTGTGCATGTGTGTGTGAGAGAAAGAGAGAGAGAGAGCCTAAAAATAACAATATCAATTCTATATAGCAGATAATTAAGTTGAGTTGAGTTGAGTTGAGCAGTGCAGCTACCTACATACATACATACATACATACATACATACATACATACATACATACATACATATATAAAACGTTGCTTGTGTTTTAAGAAATTGAAGTTTAACACGAAACACAACAAAAAACTTTTGCTTCCGAACTACGCGCGCTGCCTCCAACAGACGTTAACGGCGAATGGTGGGAGGAATGAGAATGGCAGGGCGTAACGGAAACGGTTATCGAGCCGGCACGACAAAACGCACAGCACAAGACGCACAACGCATAACGCACGCTCGACGCTCGACGCTCGACGCACGACGCACGTTTTTATTTTGTAGCTCTCTTTGGCTTTGCTGTTGCTTATAATCAATCTATTACGTTCGACTAGAACTCGTCAACTGAATTAGTTAATCAAGCAAAAGATAGCCAGAAGCGTCGGCGCGCGTTCGCAACGAGAGCTGCTCGTGAGACCGAACTGAGAGTGCTAGGTGGGAGTGCGAGCGCGAGTGCGAGCGACCAAAACTGTGCTGTCCGACAGCTGAGAGCAAGCGAGCGCGCTAAAAACGAGAGTGAAAATGTGTCAGTGTGACTTTGAATGAGTGCGTGCGTGCGTGCGTGTGTGCGTGCGTGTGTGTGTGTGTTTGTGTGTTTACTGTGTAGCAGCTGTTGCAATGTGCCACGCACTAAGCTTTACGATCGCTTTCCAATATGCATGTAATCTTTCCGTATATATCAAATATGTATATGGGCATACCAGAGCTTTTACTTAGCATTGACCACCACATGCTCAGGTACAATACGCTGCGTATGCGTAATGTGAGATAGCAAGTGTTACGCATACGCCAGTGAAACCCTTGCGTGTATGTGTGTGACTGAGTGAGAGTGCGCTTAAGCCGTAAACTACTTTACTGCACAGTGGCTAGCAATTTATTGTTTTTTTCTTTTCTTCTAATTTTGCTTAATTGAATCGAAAAATAGATTCATTTTCAGTTACATCTTTCAAATAATTTTTATGGTGGTTGAAAACTTTATCTGTCATTGAACAATTCAAATCTATTAGATAAAACGAGCTTTCGTTTAAACAATGCCATAGTTTCGACAACATTATGAGAGTACATAAATAAGTTTACTTTATTTTATTTACTTTATTATCATTCGCACTTTTGTTAAACTGTGCAGCACAACAAATTCATTCGCAGTGCTTTACCTTGCTTAATTCCAATTTGTTTCCACTCTCTCCCACTCTGTCACACATGCACACGCACACAGCCACAGGCACGCACGCATGTGAGAGCAAAGCGCGTGCTGCTCTCAATTTGTTTAGCCTCTCAGCTATTATGCTGCTGCGCTGCCGCCGTCGCTGCTGCTGTTGCTGTTGCTGTTGCTGCCGCCGTCGCTGCTTTGTGCCCACGCAAATTATTGTATTGTTGAGCTTTTTTTTTTTTCGTATTTGCGTTTTGATTTAAAAACAGTTGTATGCATATTTTTATGTACACATGTAGGCATATTATATGTAATTGTATGTGCACATCTATCTACCTATTGACTTGATCTCTACCGGCCGGTGTTTGTAACACCTTTTGTGTACATGTACAAGCACATGCATATTTATTTACACACACATTTGCATTGTGCGTTGCTCTTGCTATACACGTGCCCACTAATGTATGTATATGCATATATTTATGTCCATGTGTGTGTCCATTGCCTCTGCATAATCCCGCGCATTCTTTAATGTTGAAGTGCCATGGAAACGCACTGCGCGTGTGTACACACACATGCACGCCTACACATGCACACTGCATGCACGCCTACACATGCACACTGCATGCACATGCATAGCATGCGTGTGTGCATCATTTGCTGCCTTTGTCATATTAGCTGCCCCAGCAAATAAAACTGAATGAGATGGAAAACAGGCAGATTAGCAGCTACCTGTTTTTGTTTTCCCTTTTTGTTGTTGCAGCAGCTACCCCAAGCGCAGCCCTTCCCCTCGCCCCTACACGGCTTAGTTAAAATAGAAAATGACGTCTAACTCGCAGGTCCCAGTTTTTGGCGTAGGCGTATAAAAGGCACCGATTTGACCGCCACAGCGCTGCCTATGTGTGCGTGCGCGCGTGTGTGTGTCCGCGCGTGGTCGTCTCTTCTAAATGTGTGCGTGTGTGTGTGTGTGCGTGTGTGTGTGTAAGCTGGCATTGTTGCGACGCTGATTATAAAGCTCAACTATTTCCGTTGAAGCGCTGCTTAAAAAAGGATTTCCGAGTCGCTCGTTTGTTGGCTCTTCCAGTGAAGCAGCCACAAGGAGCACCTTGTTGCCATCCTGGGGCTGGGGCAGCCACAAACAACTGGTTTAAGGCAGACTTAAATGCAACAACCACAATTCAGGTGCAGGCCACATTAATTGGATTTTTGTGGGCATCACATCCCCAGGCTTTCTTTTTTTTGTTATTTGTATAACAACTGCATTTTTGACCGATTCATCCTAAGATAGTTAACAATATTCGAAAAATGGGTGACAGGATAAAATGCGAGAAAATATATCTTTCATCTAAAGATACGAACTTTCGTCGATACTTTACTTTACTTGATTTCTTCCGCCTCTCACACACATTTTGCTTAAATTACACAATATCCTTTTTAACGAGTTCAGGGTAAACATAGTTTTGCGCCAGAGTTATAATGCCGCAACCAAAAAAAAAAGCAAGGGTATTTTTACAAAACCAACGAAATGAAACCAAATTTTCAGCTTGAAGACACAAAATGCCAACGTTAAATGAAATGCACAATAGATGTGCCTTTGGGGACGACATATATGTATATATATGTATTCAAATTTGTGTGACACGCACTCACACCCGCACACACACACTCCCGTGGCCTTGTGACCCACATAACCCACAAACGCAAAGTGTGCCAAGCTCGGGCAAGGTAAATTTCAATCGCAGCCGAAAAGTATGCAATGGAAAATGTTAGAAAGAAAAAAACTCACCTTGAGCAGCGTGAGAATCTTTTGCGATAGATCATAATCAAAATTCGAATATTTGGATCCACTCATATCGTAGATAAAAACAAGTCCGGCACGCTGCGTTTCCGTATCCTGCAGCGCACAGTCCAGCTGATAGACAATACCCTGTAATGTGGTCGTATGCGAGGCGCTTAGCGGACTGTGCCGATTGGCCGTAAAGAGCGCAATCGCCGCTCCGCTCGAAGTGCGCGCCGGCTAAGAACAAAAGATGCAGATACAGTTAGTTGCTGGATTGATCTCGGCCTAGTCGAGATCGAGTGGTACGCACCAGTATTGTAAATTTGCCCGTTTGCAGCTCGGAGCGCAACGGCTCCACACCCGCATCAATGTTATATAGGTATTCCCTTTGCCGGATCTGCTCATGCTGTTCATACAGAGACACGGCGCGTGGTATATCAAACTTACGGGCGTACAAGAACTTGACGGCCGTCGTGTGCGAGATGTGACGTCTGATGGGCAATGATGACGACGATGATGATGCTGTTGTTGTTGATGGATTTTGTGTGTCTAAAGCGACTGTTGTCTGTTGTTGTTGTTGCTGTTGTTGCTGTTGTTGCTGTGTATTGATGTGTACGTGGAAACTGGATGTGCTGGCATTCGAGGAGGCGGCGGCTGTTGCTGCTGTTGCTTGGCTGCAGTTGGCGCCTAAATTGTTGCAGAGATCAATAAATTGTTTGACAGCCTGTGAAGTAGCATAAAATGAAATGACAACATCGGCAATTAGGCATCTCTGCTAAAAAAACAACAACAAATTGCAAATCAAAGTAACACCAAAGACAAACAAATAATTGAATTGGAAAATAGGGTCTATCCTATTCAAAACTCTGACTATAAACTAATATTATATTGACACATTAAATGGATTATCTATATAACTATAAGAACTATTCCATTTTCTGGCATATATACATATGTCAAGATTTTCAAAGATTTACAATAATTTTCTATATTGTTAGGCATCAATATTAAAGCTTTTATTAAAAGTTTAGCTTAAAGTTTTAGGTTTTTATTTCTGTTAAATAAAATTTCGATCATGGTGCAGGGTATTGACTAGTCGATCACTTTGCCTCAATTAGAGAAGTTGGGGGAAAAACTAAGTTGACTTATTCGGCAAATTTTTGTAATTTTTCTTAATTTGATTTGATTATCATCGTTTCCGAATTCTTATAATTAGCTAATTTAGAGGTTTTTTTTTGTGTGTTCATTGTCATTTTCATATACAAACCAGCTGTATTAACCACTTGAGCCATGATTAATAGAAACTCACATATGTATTGTCTTTTTAATGGGGACATTACTTTCACAATAAACCGCATTGGCTGAGCACACGATGATATTAGTGTACTGGCTGAGAAATTACGCCATTGTGTGCAATTAGTAATGAAAATAATTGCCATGCGAGTCATTAATAGATTGATCAATTCCAATAGACGAAACGTTAAGCATATGGAGCTCGACCAGTTGCATTAGCCTTGAGCCTTGAGCCGAGCCCAGCTAACAGCACACAGCTGCCTGGCAAATCGAACCAATTACAATGCACAGGTCTTAAGCTCATTAACAATCAACAGGCTGTGTGGGCCAGGTGTGTGCATGTGGCTCGCTATCGCCTGGAAGATGCATTGGCGATACACAATATTGTTTTTAGAACTCAGCCCAAGACATTTGCCAACTATTTGCAAGAGATAATGCTAAGCATACAAATCCCCTTGAACATTATTTCCGAAAAGCTCTATCTTAAAGACTTTTCGAATCGTATAGTTTGTAATTTATAGCAAAACCTGAATGGCAATGCATACATATATACATATTTAAGTGCAATTCATGCATGCATAATTAATGTGAAAATTAATTAGGGAGCAGTGTAATATTTGCTATCAAATATGAATTACTCGGAAAGAGTTTACAGTTCTTCATAAATTCACAGATACACATAATATGTTGATTAATTTGAAATAAACTGTTTCCGAGTAAAAGTTAACAGATATTGCCAGAATTTCTCATGTATGCATATACATGTACATGCATATATGCCCCCCAACCCCTTTTATTGATTTCCTTAATCTTAACACACGCTCAATTGTGGGGCTTATCAATCGCAGGAATTGCCACACACACACACACACACACACACCCTATCAACCCCTTCACAAGCACTCAAACCGATAAGCTTATAGCATACTCGAGCACAGGTATACTTAGACAAATATGGCAAGAGCTCAACAGCAGCAGAGAAAAAAGAAATTTGTTGTGAACAGCTGTCTAATTGGATTTTCTGAAAATCGGATAGTTTTCTGGAATTGGCAAGGGCATATATGCCGAGGCAAATAAAACGGTTAAATGCAAATCCGATTCCCAGTTGGAAGGGGGATATCGAGGTGGTAGCATTTGTTGATTGGCCTCTTATAACGTTGCATGCGCGAACATTTCTTGGAAATGTATCAAAGTGGGGCTCAAGTGGACTAGAGCTGAATCTGAAGCGGCGTACGTAATGTAATAATATGTCTTGCCAGGCAGCACATTGTCTCAATGGCTGGCCTCAATCCCCCCCCTCCCACTTGTGTGTCGTCACTTCCCACTTCCACTTCCTAATTCTATTTCGGGCTCCTTAGTTGGTTGGCTTTCGTTCTTATGCGTTTTGCGTTAGCTAATTAGATACTTGACATGCATTGCACGTTGGCGGCGGCCAATTTAGTTCGCTTCTTCGGGAAATTACAATGACAGCGCGCGGGGAGCGATGCGTGAGTGGGGGGGGGGGGGGGGGGGGGGGCGGTGAATGTTTTGTGACCTAATCGCTGACGCCACCCACCTGTTCGCGATTGCGTCGACGCTGATAGAGATGCACCATGTTGAAACACACAGAGGCAGGCACAAAAACAATTACAAAATAAAAAAAGAGGGGCACACTTTCATATACTCAATATATATATGTGTATATATATATATATATATTGTATAAATTGATAACTGTATCGATATCGGTATAGTATGCAGTTGGGGCTTTCCGTTTGTTTCTGTGGCGACACTGAAATTCGCGACACGACGCTTTCAAAGTTTCTTTCATTACTGAAACGGAAAAAAAGGCAGCGCGCTGCGATCTAGCAGCAAATTAAACAACAAAGCGCACAGCAGCAGCAGCAACAAGAACAACAGCAGCAGCAGCAGCAGCAAGCACAAGAACAAAAGCAACAAGGGAAACAACAACACAAAGGCAACTGCTGATAGCAAGCGCTTTGCTGCTGCTGCTGACGTTGACGTTGGCGTCGACGCGACGCGCCGCTGCTTTGATGACTATTTACCGCTGCCGCCGCTGCTGCTGCTGCTGCTGCTGCTGCTGCTATTGCTGCCCAGCCGAGCCATGTTAACGAACTTTATTGAACCGCATTGCATTGGACTGCAGGGGTGTGTGTCGTGACGTGTCGTCTCGTGTTGGAGGATGAGGGGGAAAAAAGAGCAAAGAAACAAACAGACAGACAGACAAACAGTTAAAAGACCGAAGGTTTGAATCGCTCGACAGGTACAATTCCAAGAAGCAAAGCTAACAACGCATGCGCCGCTCGGATTGGTCAAAAGCGTTAGCGACGTCGACGTCGCCGCTGGCGTTGACGTCGCTGCCCTAGCATGCCAACAATTTGAGTCATCCCGTTTCGCGTTTCGACTGTCCATATGTCACTCCTGCTGCATCGGTCGCAGTCGCAGTCGCCGTCGCCGTCGCCGTCGCCGTCGTCGTTGCCGTTGCCATTGCCGTTACCGCTGGCAGCGCTGTCAGCAGCGTGCACAGGAGGTTAGAGCATATGTGCCGTCATCGGCAACGATTACAGGCTGTAGCGATACACTGTGAGAAATTTCGTTGAATACACTAGTGGTACATTTAATGAGCACACTCTCAAAACTAGTATGTACATATATATATATATATATATAGGCATCTATTTTCCGTTTCTGCAATTCATGGATAACTTGGATAAAGATTAGACTATAGACATCGGAGTTATTGGAGAATGCATTTAACTTAATGAGATACTAAGTCGAGAAAATTAAGTTGTTTTTTTTTTGCCCAATTGCCGTACGTGAGCATCTGACGTCGTTGAGAACCTGGCAGAGACACGAACATGACGTCTGGCGAAAACAAGAAAACAATCTATCTGGCTGATGAAATGTTTTTCCACGTATTATGATAAACGTCAGTTAAATAAAATTGCTGACTTATAAGAAATATTACGTAACTTTTTGGAGTAAAGAGCGCACAACAAAACGAAATGAACACATTTGAGAATAGCCAAGATTGCAGCAAGCTGCGAATATATGAACATATTATAAATATAAGTTGAATTGTGTATGCCCTATGTTTTGCGTTCAGTGTAAGAAAAGAGGCGATAATTTTGACAGGCTGGCGGTGCGAGTGCGTCACCTTTTTTTCTGTGCCCATTGTTTCCACGAAATATCAAAACACAGCCTCAGCGGTGGGTGTGGCAGATAAAGCGATGATGCATATAGCTTCGAGTGCCAGAAAGCCGAAACTGATAAAACTGTGATTAAACAGAAATGAGAAACCGAACAATTGGAATTCCCATAAACGATTCGAGAAGCGGCCTGCCCATTGGCTAAGGTCGGCAACAGCAATATTTCCAAATGAAGATCGATTTCTATATCGAATTCCAGCTGATCGCATGACGTCACATGCACACGGACGGGTGTGCGTGTGTGTGTGTATGAGATAAATGACTGTCGAATTTTAGTCAATATTTTAGTTATGGGGCAACTTTCACTTTAGGGAATCTTTGCTAGAGGCAACACTAAGTGACTTACCCACGTCACGCCCACGCGTCGTGGTTGCCAATATACCCTCTAAAAAAATAAGAGTATTCAATAATAAAACAATCAATTTTTATGCTAAATTTAACTCATAAAATGCATTTTTATAACATAAGTTTATAGGCAAGAATATTTTGTTACAGGGTATCCTTTAGCCTGGCACTATATCAATAAAAAAACAAACCATTTCTCAACTAAATTTAACATACAAAATGCAGGTTTTTTAACACGAATATTTTGTTACAGGGTATCCTTTAGCCTGGCATTATATGTGCAAGTGTTTGCAACAGGCAGCAGACATTTCCGGTCAAGCATAGCACATTGAACCTGGAGCCTAGCTAAGACTTTGGCCATTCAGCAAACATATTTAGAAAACGATTAAAGGTCGATAAAGGTCGATTGTCTGTTGCCAAGATTACAATGTCCGGAACTTAAACTAGCCTAACTAAACTTAAACTAACCTAACCATAGACAATTTAGTTAATTAACGCCCTTTTGAAGTTCATTTCATTTTCATTTCGAAAAGAGTCAACTTTCTGTGACTTGTTTGCTTTGCAACAAATATGACAACAATTGTTGCTATTCTTCTTCAGTTAATAAACAAAGCTGACTGACAATTGTTGCTGGCCATGTTGCAATTTGTACATAAACGAAAAGGCCAAAATTGTTAAACAAATTTGTAAGAACAGTTCAGCAAATATTGTTGCTTAACTACAAGAGCAAACACGTGTGTGTGTGTGTGTGTGAGTGTGTGTGTGTGTGTGCTTGTGGAGAACAGCATTTCCGGTTGCGACGAGTAGCAGGCGGAACGTGCCTCAAATTATTGGCCATTAGAGCTCGGCGAGGCGAGTTAATAGAGCAACAAGTGAA